ATTGTGTAAAAAGTTTGATTAGTGAAGGTCAAACATTTATCAGAGGAGACAATGTTACACCGGTTACAAGTCACTATCGATCTCCAAAAGAGTAAATTGTATGTAAAAGCAAGCAGAAATTTCTCAAAGACATCAATTCTTTCGCTTCAAAAGTAGACAAACGTTAAATAGACGAAGTAAATGGACAATCTTTTTGCTCAACGAGAAATAATTTTTACTCACAGACTGACCCTTGACGAAAGCAATAGTTGTCCGTCGAGACCTACGGTCTTGTACATGTAGCTGAGGACATGATGTACGATTTATAGATCGGCGCCATCTTTTACAGCAGACTTTTAAAGAAAAACTTCGCCGTCGAAATTATCCCTAAAGAAGAACAAGGTTGAAAAAGTATCCGGAAGTGGGCTAACATTTGAAGATCTGCAAACAGTGTACAGCAGATTAGGAAATAAAGGGCTTATTGCGATCCTTGCACAACCACCGTCTTCATCGCCGACGATCGCCATCCTCAGTGACCACCACGCTTCGAATTTTAGCTGCAATAGTCAAGTACTTCTAAGAAAACATCCTGTGTTAGGTATAAAATTGAATCCGCTATCTCTCCTTTTTCAACTGGCGAGATATCACCGTAATGATACTAATAAACGGCTTCAAAACAATGGCTTTCATACTCTTCAAAGAAACCACATGTTTTCAGTAGCTTTTTGCATTATGCGCATGCGGGCGTGATGGCTCGCGCGCGTATTTTGCTCATACGACCCCGAACCACGCGTGTTTTTCGGATTTTTGTGACGTCAACGCAGTTAATTAACCGTGAATTTCTCGCGTTTCCATCGGTAAATTTTTTAAAAATCGCCTCATAGCTTGATAGTTGCAGTACCTTTGTACTGACCTATTTTGTTAAAATCTGTAAGAGCTAAATTCCTCCATTAAGAAAAAATACAAATTTCAAAATATTGGCAAAACCGTCTTAACGACCCCATGTTTTTTCCACTTTAAAATGTTAAGCAATATCGTTAATATAAAGTGGCAAAGTTTAAAGACATTTCACCGTGGGAAATAAGAAATATTAAGAAAAAATGATCAAAAATGACAAAATTACTGCCTGTCTAAGGATGCCATGTTGCCATGGCAACGGCCTTAATCCAGAAAATGAAACTTGATAAAGGAGACTTCTTATATTGGTAACCTTAGCGGTGAATCTCGTGAACAAAATCGCAAGGGCAAAGTGACTAGATTTCGTTCTGTAACGTATGCTAGATAGCTAGGGTTATTAGTAAATACTCTAGGGAGCCACCTTAAAACAGCTTTGTATAGAGACGCCATGTTGGTGTTCCTTTGAGGGGTTCGATATGGCGGTCGGGAAATCAACAGAAACATCTGTTTGAGTTTCTGGAAAGGCGTGAATTTATCGCTTGAGGAACTGATAAAGATTAAAGTAATAATTACTTATTCTCAGACTGAGGCAATTAATGTTTAGATGGCAAAACTCAACCTACATGAGAGCTTTCTTGCAATTGGTCGCCACTTAAATTCCGCGTCACGCAAAAACTTGGCCAACTGTTTAAGTGTCCACTATCTCAAAACGAATTAGGACCCTTTCGAGCTGAAAATTTGTAAAAATAAAGGTATTAAGCTTTTTGTAAGACCTCATGAAAGTAGACACTTAGGAGAATCAATAATTTCTTAGTTTGAATTTTGGCGACGTCATGTAAAAACCTTGAATTTCTTCACTTGATATGCTGGTGAATAAAAGAGCACAGAGGTGGGATGTAGTATATACTTACAGATTTTTTTTCGCATTCATTACTTCTTGCGGTTTTAGTGATAGAATATAACCGCATCATCATTTTCAAGGAAGCGATAAACGACAAAGTTCTTCCTGGTCAGGTGATAAGGACTGAGATGGTCCCAAACGAGGGAAGCTGCCGGGTGAAGTGCTTTTTGCAGCCAAACTGTGTATCCATCAACGTGGGGCCTGAAGTTGAGGGAACACGAACATGCGAGTTGAAAAATTTCACCGATGAAAGCGAAACACAAGCTGGTTTGGAGGAAAAGAGAGGTTACATACACTTTGCTGTTGAGGTAATAAAGGATGAGGAGAATGAGTGAATCGAAGTTGGACATTCAGTAAATCTTTGTTTAGCGAGTGTATTATCTGTATTATAGTCACCTTTATATACATTAACACTTTTTTTTTTATGCAGACGCTGAGTAACGCTGATTCTCTTACCTTTATGAATCTCATTTTCAGTTCTCAGATAATAAAAAAAATGTCCAAAATTTGCGCTGTGTCAATTTGTGTAAGAACCTTTTAACTAGATAACTAGGAAAAAATCAGTTTCAGTTACTTTCGAGTAAACTTAAAACTCTCGCACTGATTCAAAACGTCGGCTTAAATGGTTCCCTATTTCCTTGAAAAGTGCGGCCGGAGGTTTCATGAAGTATTGAATGATATCGGGACCTACCTGTTAATGTTTAAAAAAATTCATACAGATGTGTCAATGGACCAATTCCGATATATCAAAATTCATACATGGCTCTGAGGCTTGGGGGAATAAAACAAAAGAAATCATCTTGAGGCTCAGCAATGACTACACTGTGAATAATGCATTTCTTTTATTTTATTCCCCCAAGCCTCGGAGCCAAGTATGAATATTGATATATTGAAAATGGTCTATTAATCCCGAAATTAACATATTAATTCCCCGTCATGTTCGTTTTTTAACTGTTTTTCCAGAACTTTTGTCATTATAGCCGTTGCCCTGGAAAGTACTTTCTGTGCCAAGTTGGGTTTACAAATAAAGGATACAGATGTTTCTGTCCCGAGGGTTTTAAAGGAGATCGGTGCGATGAAGGTAATGTACGCTCAATAGGCAACAATCTCGTTCCCAGGTTCTCTCTCCTTTAGCTGATTGACAAGGTTTTGTTTCTGTAATTTTATTCTCTTTTACTTCATTCTTACTTTCATACATTCCCCCACTTTATCAAGATAAAGTTGATTTGTCATGGATCATTTTACATTACCATGCATGGTTAACAATTAAAAAAATTAAAACGAAAAGTTAAGCACTGATAAAATTAACTGGCCTGACCTCAACATATCATAGACGCAAACACAAAGACAAATGGAGACCAAAAGTGTTTGTCAACATGTT